GTCTCCTCTTCCGTACCCCCGGGGGGGGGGGGGGGGCGCTTTAGTTACCAATGCAAGTCCTATTGGTTTATTTTTTCATTCTTTCACGTCGTTATCCAGTTTTGGGATTTGAAGAAAATAAATAATGTTGGATCTTGATGTTTTGAGTAGATTAATCATTTTAATATCACACATCAAAATGATCGAGGTTTATACAAATGATTTTTTAATTTGTCTTCCACTTTATAAAATTCATGCCCGTATTTTTGTATTTGTGTTTGTGTGTGATAGTTTGAGATTCTATTTGGTTACTGAGAAAGTTTAGAGGTATAAAAAGTACTAAAACTTTGAAGTTATGTATATTATGTTATTTGTATCCTGGATAAAGGAAGGGGATTTCTTTTTTGTTTTTGTTAGAAACAAGACATTTCGACACTTTGTTAATTGAGATAAAATATGTTAGTTGAGAAACAATTTTCATTTTTACAATACCTTTTCACACTAATATTAGCTCTCCTAGAAGCATAACTATCATGTATGAAACAGCGAATGTTCCTTATTTCTGAAATTGAAAAGGAGTAAAATTGAAATTTATAGGAAATACAACATGTTGAGTGCATAAAAATAGTCATTATCTCCAACAACCCCATGACTCAATGGAATATTAGCTTCCCTCTACAACCATGAAACCAATTTGAGCAAATGAAATCTACATTTGATATTAAGCAAAATCACACTATAAGAAAGGTAAGTTCATTTAGATAATGCAAAATGTATGGTGTGAAACTGGAGTAACAAGGATGCATTTAAGGGTTGGTCGAAGTTTCTTACTATCAAATACCAAAAAATCAGAAATGGTGCAAGAGGATGGTAAAGTAAGGATTATAAGTTTTTTTTTTGAGGGTGTAAAGTCTTATTAAATCTTAATTGGATTGGAGAATAAATATCGTAGAAACAATTCCATTGAAATAATTATTTTCATGGTCCAAAGTTTTTTATCTTGGTTTTTCATTATGTGAGAGATTGAAGAACATTTTGGTGAGCTTTCTTTCGATATTTGATACTCAAAATAATTCATATACAACACATGTGTGTATCAATTAGTATTATTAAAAATAAAAAACTCAAAATACCAGAAATTAGGATTTGTGGAATAGAGGCTTGTGAAGGATTGTAGATACATCTCTTTATAGTATAGAGATATCTTATGTATGTAGGTTAATTAATAAAATTTCACATACTGAATATATTTAGCCCACACACCCCCTCGAATGTACCTAGTTGTAATATTTCATAGATATATATTCACACATACACACTTTTGAGGGGACCCTATATCAAAATTTCAACGGTAACTTTTCTCTCCTAGCCCAAGATGTTTCTTCTTTAGTGTAGAATGTTTGATAGAGATTGAAAAGGGATTGGATGAACTTAAATTTAAGAATTGAATTTTATTTTTTGTTTTAGTATTATTTTATTAGTTAGGAAATATTTGTTTGACTTGGAGTAGTAGTTAAATTTGACTAAGAAATTACTAAAGAGTTTTAGTAGGATAGAGATTTGAGAATTTGGTTATGAAATTCTTTTAATATTTTAGTAGTAGAGCAATTTTTATTTTAGTAGGAAACTTAACCTATAAATAATGGTGTAATCACAATTATTTTTATTAGAGAGAATGATATATAAAAAGTGTTTCTCCATGGAGAATTTTGTGTGTTTCTTGACCGATTCCTTGTGAGTATGAGGTAAATCTCTTTTACCTCTATTCTTTTTCCTTCTCTTTCTATTCTTTGAATTTTAGTTCTTCCTGTCCTGTATCAATTTGATATCAAAGTTAAACCTCGAGCTACTACTGCTGTCCATCAATTTTGTCTCATTACTGTCAAAAAAAACTTGAAATTTCATCTAGTTTCGTTCTCTGTCTCATCCATTGGCCAGATTTATCGCAACAGTCACAGTTCAACAAATTTATCACAACAATCTCAGTTCACCAACACATCATAAAGATAAGTTGTTTTTGTTTTCTCCTTTATTGCAATTGTTTTATAGTACATAAAATACGGTTTCAACCATATTACCTTGGTCTATTATTCAAAATAGTTTAACTCAATTTTCTTAAAAACTTAGCCCATATCCACAAAAAAAAAAAACAAAACTCCTCGTCTTTGAACCAATTCCCAAAAATTCAAATCTAACACCATTGAAACTACACAAACACCCCCAAGACTTTTCAAAATTATATATTTGACCTCTAGAGTTTTTAAAATTACACTTTTGCCTCCAAAGTTTTAGAAATTACATTTTAGCCCCAAAAATTTTTAAAATTATATTTTAGCCCCTAAAGTTTCAAAAATTATAATTTAACCCCAAATATTTTTGAAATTACAAATTGACCTTAGAGTTTTCAAAAAAAAAAATTTCTTAAAATTCTCTTCCGATCAATATGATTTCCAACATTGAATTAAATACTAAAGTGGAGGCTTTATCCCAAGCACAAGTTTTTTACAGAAGGCTATGAATACTAGACGAGATACAATCATACAATTCCAGCATCCATTGATTCACTGAGAGAACTTGTACTCGCTATAGTTTGTGAAACCAAAACAAGTGAAGATTTTAACTTTGTCTCCTCAACTGCTAATCAAAAAATGGTTAAACACAACCCCCTCTAGTTAAACCACAAGTTCTACCACTACAAGTTCCAATTCGACTGAATTGCGTTAAACTGAAGTTATTCAATGTTGATGAGTCCAAAAGTTCTACTTTTATCCATCCCACAACAATTGTTTTTGGCAAGCCAATTGTATAGGGTGTTCCTACAAGATGGAAAACAAGTTTCAAGCGTAATTATTTTAGATGGAGTTGCTACTTTTTCGTCAACATCCTCACCGTCCTTTTATCTAGAACAAAGTGTGAAGGTTATGAAGATTCGAGAATAGATTCCTCCCATTGTGATATCCTATATTATGTCATTGAAGAGAGATCTTACTTCTATGCTATTAGGTTTGACGATGTGTTTCACAATTTGATGTCAATTCTCTTAGAGTATTCTTGCTGCAATAACTCTTTGGAGAAGAGTTTTTTTAGCCAGGAAGAATTGATAGAGATCAAAAAGGGACTGAATTAGCTTAAATTTAAGAATTGAATTTTATTATTTATTTTAGTATTATTTTATTAGTTAGGAAATATTTGTATGACTAGGAGTAGAATTTGACTAAGAAATTGTTATAGAATTTTAGTAGGATAGGAATTTGAAAGTTTGGTTATGAAACTCTTTCAGTAGAATAGTTTTTATTTTAGTAGGGAATTTGACCAATAAATAATGGTGTAATCCCAATTATTTTTATTAGGGAAAGGGAGATATAATAAAAATTATTTCTCTGTAGAAAATTGTGTATTTCTTGACAAATTTTTTGTGAGAACGAGGTAAATCCTTCCACTTCCTTCTTTATTCTTCTCTTTCTATTCTCCCATGGTTTTTAGCTCTTCCCATCCTACATCAAGCTTCCCTTCAACGCCACTGCCAAAAGCACCCACGACTTCAAAGATTTTTAAGTAATCTTCTTCCTTTTTCATCTTGTATTTTCTTCATTTTCAGCTAATTTTCCATATTTGAGCCTGTCCCGACTTCGCCATCATCACCGACAACAAATTTACGGGCTTTTTTATTTATTTATGCAAAGTTGATAAAAAAATCAGGCACAAACTGAGTTGAGACTTGGGATGAGAGATTTGGGGTCAAGGGCATCGATGGTGGATTGGCTGCAGAGAGATGTGAGTTTATTGAACTAATTTATACCAATTCAGAATTTTTATTCAAATTTGAGTACATTGACTCACCATCGGGTGAAATTTGGTAATTTGGGTACAGAACTCTATACGTCAGTTCACCTCCAAACAATACCCTTCTTTCATCGATGGTAGTCATCAACTCCGATCACAAAACCCGAATCAATGGCAATTCCTAAGTAGCCATTTCTTTGGTAGGGGCCGGCGTGGATCGCATGTTCAGCGTCGTTGGAATCCTAGTCATCTCCCTCGCCAACCACTCCGTCCCCCTTCGAATCTAATTCATCGCCTTACACAATGAGCAATCAATCATATGGGTATGCCGGCCCGACATTCGGGTACCTCACTAGCCGGCAGGGAATCGTCCTCAGCATCTCTAGCACTACTGCGTCCATGGCCTCGCTGGTCTTTCCAACGCCACCGTTAACTCTTGGCCCATGGTCGTCATCTCTGACTCTTGCAATCAAAAAGACTCTGGCCACGACGATTTTCAAGAGCTCGATCAAATCACATCGGTTAAACCCTTCTCGAGATTTGCCACAGAAACCACTGATATCAAACTTATCTCTAATTGTATTTTCGAAGTTATTCACTAGGCCAAATTGGGCCGACTTGGTGGGTGTTACTTAGACTTACCCTCTGATGTGCTTCATCAAAACTGAATTGGAGGTCAATAAATTGAAAACTGATGCTCAGAAATGTAGAAAGAAATAGGAAGAAGTGACAGGAAGTGTCGGAATATTCAGAGATTGAAAAGGAAGTTTCGATGTTGAGACAAGACAATCGGAGAGGCCGTTGATTGTATTTGGTAAGGGCCTTGCCATTGCTAGAGCAGAGAATGAACTTTAAAAGTTAGTTGAAAGCACTGTAATTCCATTTCTGCGAACTTCAATAGGAAAGGGATTGTTGTCTGATACACATGAGCTAGTTGCAATGGGGGAAAGGTCAGTGGCGATTGGGAAATGTGATGTTGCATTAGTGCTTGGTGCAAGGCTGAATTGGTAATTGCATTTTGGGGAACCTCCAAAGTGGTCCAAGGACATGAATTTTTTATTAGTTGATATATGTAAGGAAGAGATTGACTTAAGGAAATCGAGTGTGGGATTTTGTTGGGGATGCGAAAAGGGTTTTGGAATGATTCATAAGGAGATTAATAATGACCTTTTTTGTTTGGGAAAGAATCATACTTGGGTTGAGGCGATAGTGAAGAGGCAAAGGAAAATGTGTCAAGAATGGAGGCACAATTGGCTAAGGATGTTCGACCATTCAATTTTATAACATCGATGAGAATAATTAGGGATGCGATTTTGGTGTCTGAGGGGGTGAACACAATCAACGTTGGTCGGGCTGTGTTGATTCACACAAAGCCGAGGAGTAGGTTGGATGTTGGGACTTGGGGGACAATGGGGATGGTCTGGGATATTGCATTACTGTGGCAGTGGCTTCATCTGGTCGGGTTGTGGTTTCTATTTAGGGGACTCTGGATTTGGTTTTAGTGCCATGGAAGTTGAGGTTTGTTCTCTTGCCTAATATTATTGTTCATTTAGTGCTAATTGATAACTGAACACTCGTGGACTTTGCCTTATCTGTTCAATTATGAATGAACATAATGCTGAAGTTGAAGTTGAAAAGTTTATCTTCTAGATGATTTCATATGGATTTAGCTGGAATATTGTGTATTTAGATGAACGGAGAAGCGTGTATTTTTTAATTATACTTGTTTTTTCTGTTCAACTGGTTTTGATTTTGTATAGGCACCTTCTAGCTAGTTTGGGAAATCACAATTATTTTCAAAGGCTTCAATTAAGAACAAACAATATGCAGAATCTAAACATCTTTCCTCTAAGGGATAGCAAATGATATTCTAGTACCTGAAACTCACCAATCCCCGACTTTGCCAGAGGTGGGAGCCTTGTACACAAGACTTTTTAATTCTTATTGCTTGCACAAAAGCATGTTGTGATAGACCACAACTTTGAAAACAGAGAATGCACATTTTATTGTTCAGGGTTTAAGTTGCTTGTATTGTTTTATTATTAATAATAGGTTCTGAGGGTAGAGCGCATATTTAGTTGTCATAACTTATAATTAGAATATGTTGCTCGCATAACATTCTTCTATGTTTTATAACTTGGGTAATCCATGTCTGAAGGTACGGTGTAACGTAAACCTAGATTCTTGAGAGGGAAGTATATGGCCGTTAGATGAGTTTATTTGAAACCGTCGGATAGGTTTATTAAAGCTTGACGTGTTTTATATTATAGATATCCTATTGATTGGTGCCTATTCATCTGAGGAATAGATATGGTTACTATTCTACAATAGACAAGTCTCATACAATTACTATCAATTATTCTTTTATCACGTAGCAGCTGTAATAGAATGTCGAATTATTTGAAGCCACTTAATTGGGTGAATTTCTTTTTGGCCCATGATTTGAGTTGTCCACAAGATCCTACATAGTTCACTCAACATTTCGAAGACTATGAAAAAATCACCTTCACTTTTATCTAAAATAGTCACATTTGTGAATCTTGTTTGTGGTATTTATGGTCACTGATCATGGCAAATTCTGTTCCTGTCCAAACTAGGTGGCAACAGGCATGGTTTGACTGCCAGAAATAATCAATGATCACCATTGGCTTCCAATGCTTGTGATACAGTATGGGGAAGTATTTTTTGATCTTTGTTGCCCATGGAGTCCGGTCCCAATGGGGAATCAAACCTTGCATTACCACTTGGAACTTGCCGCTTCCAGCAAAGAACTTTCTGCAACCATCTAAACAACGCCTGATAATGATATCCATGGATGCAGAAATGTTATAGGTCTAGCCTTTCATTTTGTTCAACATCAATTGACTCTATTAGCCTTTTGGGTTCAATAGTATGGAATGTCTCTTTGCTCTATGCTTTCACTCAGTTCAATTTCCTCAATTATGGCTGCTATTTGATTAGTTATTTACTCAATTCTTTTTTGGGATACATTGTTTTCCTGCCCCCTAAAAAAATAGAAAATTTCTTACTAGCGTTGATAATTCAGTATTGCCCCAACTTGATTTCCTTGCCAGATGGGCTGCAGTCACTCGAAACACTGCGAATTGAAGAGTGTCCATATTTGGAGAGGCGATGCGAGAAAGAGAAAGGAGAGGACTGGCCAAAGATAGCTCATGTTTGTCGGATTTGGATTAATTTTCGGGAAATACAATCCTTGATCCCACATGACTAAAATGCATCTGACAGAGCAACCTTGATTCATATGGTTGTGGTACCCAGCACCTTGTCGAGCAGGCAGATTAAAACTTTAGAAGGTAAATTTCTCTCACTTCCTTCTTGATGTTTTTTTTCTCCCGGCAATTGCTCCTGCTCTTTAGAGTAACTGGATCATAATTCCTTTTATGCATATAGTTTTTGGATAAGTTTATACGGAAAAACAATTTTTTTTGTGGGTCAAGTTATAAATTTTTAAGGTATTTGAGATCGATGATCCCATTATATTATAGCGCTCCTGAACTCCCCCAAAGCATTGTAACTTGACCTAAAATATGATTGATCCTATTTCAGTAATATACCTCCTTCCTTTGATACCTAAGCCAAACCCATTGTTTGTTTGTCGCTGGATGCGTGAATAGTTGTAGGGAAGCCGGACAAACCAAAGAAGTTAATTTTTTCCCAATATTCTAGAATTCAATTGTTTTGATATTTTCTGTATCAATATTCTGGCTCAGGTTGCCAGATTCTGGTGAGAAAGGGTAAATTTTTGTACCTCCATGGGATTAGTTGGACTTGGAGAAACAGTGGCAGCTATGTAGTTACAATTAGGTACTCTTGATTGATGCATTTGAGGCTACTTGAGGGTAGATCTTCATCGCGAAATGCATTGATTGATTGATTGCTGCTTCAACATAAAATTGCTGAAAAGTTGTTTCAAAAATGCTGTTGTATTTGATACAGTTGTGAATCAATCAAACTTATTCTATAAGCATGTCCATGTCTATCTATTTGTATTAATTTACGTTTGTGCAAGAAAGGAAAATAAGCACTTGCCGAAACTGTTGGTGCAAGACAAAGATATTAAGAATTTGAGCTATATTTATGCAAAGACAAGTGCTAATAGTATTGTAATCCCCAAAACATAGCAGTTGGCAGTTTTTGGTGTAAAATGTATTACATCAAATTGAGTTGGCATTTTTTTATCTCGTAAAAAAAAAACACAATTAACATAAAAGTATTGTGATCCAAAAAACTTAAAAGCATTCCTGCATAAAGAATTCCTCTTATAAAAAGCCTACGAGATTATTCACTCTATTTTTCACAAAAAATAACTCTAAATTACAAAGCTCGGTGTTAGTGTCTTGCCCAAACGTAAGTTCTCTTTCTCTCTCTCTCTTTCTCCTCTCTCTTACACACTTTTTTTCTATTCTTTTCATTTTTAGGAAACTCGGCGGATTTACATCGGGGCAATGGGGACAACCTCCTTAGTGTAATTTAAAAATTTTTTTGGATAGTTTAGAAATTTTTGTAAATTTATAATTTTTAAAAATTTGTCCCCACTTAAAATTTCTATTAACTAGTTGCTGCACATTTACGTTGCACATGTATCATTTTGAGTAAAATATATTTTGTTAAAACCAGGGACCATTTTTCACGAAATCTACTTATTTAGTAAACGTTGATAATTTATAAATGAAGGACCACATCTATAATGAAAAATACCAATGTAACATTGAATAGAATAGTTGGAGAAAATGCATTCTTTATTCCTTGTCATTTCCTAGTCCTCAACATGTTTCAAACATAGACCTCTAGTGATAACAATAACGTGCATTTTCGAGATCTGGGCATTCCAATGTTGGTTTCATATATTGAGAGTTACCAAGTATATCTACAAACAAAAAAAAATAATTGACAAAAAAAGCCTCTTAGTAGACAATGAATGACCACGTAAATCTGATATGTAGTTATCATCGACACTATTAGTTCTGGAGTAAACAAGAAATCCAACAATAGCTATTGGTTAGACATAATGAAAAAAACAAGTAATGTTCATATCTTCTAATTATTAGTAATTTGGAAAAAAGATCCATGAGGAAGAGGAAAAGAAAAAGAAATATAAAATATATAAACAAAGTTCAGTTAATTTTCATTTATCCAAATCGAAAGCCTAGATGGGAAAAAAATTTATGGAAGCCTATATGCACATGAGGACTATACAAAGACAATAACACCCAATTACTAATTGGCATAAGAAAAAATTAATTAAATTACATGAGAATAGAGAATGACATGAGAAAGCAAAACAAAAACTTTGCAACGTCCGCTACACGCAAAGGCTGAGTCTGACCAAAGTTAAAGAACCACCCTCATGTCGACTAAAATTAATCTGCTAAGCTATGTGAAAGAAGTAATGTTAAACAATAGTCCTAAAAAAGTAATATGCAAAGCAATAGACAATTTATAGGAGTGACTATATCTAATATGGCAGAATAGTAGTGAAAAGGAGGCTCACAAGAAAGATTTTAGCACTTACATGATTCCAATAGTTCTTCAATCCAACAAGCATTTGTAAAATCAAATATTAAAGTACAAAAAAAACTGATTTTGTTTATAGAGTTTTTTTGTGTGTGATCAACATGGAAAAGAGAGCATGAAAAAAGGAAGAGGCGTTGGAATTGCTGCCATTACATTTGCAACTATTATAATTACAGTACCAACTTGCAAAAGTAACTTGGTGACTATAGAGGTGCCCTAAGATAGAGAAGGGGTTGCGGAAGCTAAGAGGTTACATATAGATACTTTAATGGATAGTGAGACATTAAAAGTCACTCAAATAAATAAATGTATTTTATAATGAATACTTATTCAAGTGTCTGGTAGTTTGGATATTTAAGAGTTGCTAGAGGGTAAAAGAGGGAAATAAATGTTTTTCCCATATGTGTGCATTTAGAAGTAACTAGTTGGTGTACAGGTGTCTTGCACGTGGATTATTTTAGATAAAAGAAATATATTTATCGAATCTAAACACACATTGACGATTAAAAGATGGATAAATTTTGTGATCTTTGTACCCCATATTAGCTTCAAATCAGCTCCTGTGATTCTATTCGCATCTAAAGAGTTAGTGTCCTACAATTTTATTCATTATTTTCTTCTCCAATTTTGCCTTTAGTGTGACTTTGAGCATTTTCTTCTCCCATTCCCTAATTCACTATTGCCATAAAATGCTCCAATCAATAGATGCCTAAAATCAAAAGAACAAAAAAAAAATAAAAATTTAGTCCTACTATGAAAGAAAACCTAAAATCAAAATAGCAAAAATCCACAAGTACAGCAACACAAATGTAGCCAATTCTTGTTCTTAATATGAATTGACAAATGATAATCTCCAAAAATCACATCAATATAGTAAGAACCGGTTATCATAACAAAATAACCTTAAATATATGCTTGATTATATGACCAAACCATAAACAACCATCAATATAACAAACTCGTAAAGCAAAAAATGGAACATGTTACCCACATGCACACCTACATGTGCTTATATGATACTAACCCGTATACAACCAAAAAAAATCATATAAAATCAAAATAACAAAAGCAGAGAAACTAAAATCAAGAAAAGACAAATTTACCAATACAATGAAGGTCTAAATCCCATCTACATGTACATATGTGATACATATGAATTAAACCATTAAAAACCACACAAAAAATTCCACAATACAATAAACACTAGAAACCAATAGCAACCGCCACAAATCACATCATTAAAACAAAAACCAAGAACTAAAAATGCACAAAACCAACTTTAGTGCAAGAAGTAGCAGACCTAAGTCTCACCGGCTGATCATCTATGATGTGCTTGTCCAGAAGGAGGCGATCAAGTGAGAGAGTACCGATTTGGAGCAAAAAAAAATGTTTCATTTCTTAGTTGATGATGTATTCATTGCATATTGAATATTTATTGCGTACATGAAAATAACACAAACTGAAAGATTTTGGACAAATGGATATTGTAGTCAATCATGAGAGAGAACAAAAGGTCAGATAATTTATGTAGACACAATATGAGGAATAGTTGTTAAATATAGGTAAATAGATACAAGTATAGATAAATTTGAAAATGTGAAAGGTCATTCACATATCTATCTATTTATATCTATACTACTATAATAAAATGTCAATAAAAGTGAAAAACTTTTGATTGACCTAAATAACCTTAGTGAAAGAACTAATGCCTCTTATATCCTACCCTTTTATATTCCTCTATTTAATTTTCCTCTAATATTAATTTCAAATTAAATTCATAAATTCATCTATATCTATATCTATATCTATACTACTTCTAAAAACTCCTTAACATGAAAAACTTTTATTTTCCTATTTTTGACCTTATTAATTCTACAAAGACAATGACATCCTCATATTTCTATAAGAGAAATATATGATCATTTCTTTGTACACTTAATGCACCTTTTAACCGCTAATAATGGCAATTTGATTCATCTTCCTGCTATTGAAAAAATTATCCTCTCATCTCTCTGTTTCTATGCTTTTCATACCATTTTGTTTATAGGTTCCTATATCATCCTCATTTACAACTATAATCTCAAATTTGTCCTTCATTCAATAGTCACTAATAATTTCACTCATTTAACGTTAGGCGTTATGGATTCTAAAATAAATATTCTATTTACATACAAGATATAAGTTACAATTTGATTCTACACTAATAGTTTTACTCATTTAACGGTAGGCCTTACGGATTCTAAAATAAATATTCTATTTACATGTGATATATAAGTTACAATTTGGATCTATTACATACACTCTTTCTTATTTAATTTATTGGCTCTTCAGTTTTATATCGATGCCTATTAGCAGTACTCTACATATGTAGGATGAAATCCTATATATTTCTTTCATGTGGGTTAGAGATGCAGGATCACAATCATTTTTTGGATTTATTTTCAAAACATTTCGAAAGAATTTCAATTGTGGAGATCTGTATACGCTTACGGTGTGACGCCCCAAAATCTGGGGGTCTATTGATGACCCATCAACTCGCGGAATGCCTGTGGATATCGAATACCTTGATATCTCAACGTTGTGCCCCATTTACCCGGATCCATCTTTTATTAAAAATTTGGGCAGAGTCTCCTTTGTAAGGGGAACTCTACTCAAAACACAACCTATGCATTATATAATAACAAGACCCATCCGAGGCCCAATACTCAACAATGACCACACCGGGTCCATTTATAAGTAAACATTGGCCACACCGGGTCCAATTATCCATACCCATATAAACATGCAAGACTATATTAAAACGGTCCATATAGACTCTATTACAATTCCTTTACACATTACATGCGAAAATTTAATTACAAGTCTAATTTTTTACAAAAGAAATGGATTGGAAACCACAAGTCGGTTTTTCTTCCTCCTTAAGTGCCCGAGTGAGTGCCGTTTCTCGGCGTATGACTCGTACCTAAAATGTTTCCCGTATAGGGTGAGCCAACGCCTAATAGAGTACATCCTACAAGGGCTAATCCCCACCTAAGTGCACATGCAATGTTCACATTTGACCGTTCATATTCACATCAACATTCCAAGTAAAAATATGAAACTCTATATTGGAATTCATCATGCCATGCAATGAAATGAGATGAAACTCACTCATGCAACTTTAATTCAAGTCCTCATCGACTCCCACAACACAATGCAACACATATGTGTAAAACAACGTCTTTGATGAAACACATCCAAAGATCATTTTGAAATCAATCATATGTCATAAAACCATTTCATTCTTGGATGTTTCCCATCAAATAAATAATTTATATATCAAAATCAGGTGCCTTTATGGAGTATTGGA